AGGATCTTGTACCTTTACATGACAGGTCTTGGTTCTCATTTTTTCCCCATACTCCTCCTCTCCTTTCACCCCCTTGTCCATTCCCTATTTACAAAAACTTTATTTCCTTTTTTTTTGTCTTCTCAGATTTTTTTCCTTTCCCCTTATTTCCTTTCACCTACCCTTCCCACTTCCCCTACACCTTTAGCCCTTTTCTTTCTATTTCACATTGTCAGTTATACCATTAGGATCTTATGTACAATTATAGTTTTTCACACCAGAGAAACTATTCAGTATGTACACATGTGTGACTTATTTTACTTAAGAGTATGACCTCAATATGCATCTATTTTCCTATGAATGAATCTAATTTCTCATTCTTTGTGGCTGAGTAGTATTCCATTTTATAGAAAAACTACATGTTCTTTATCCAGTCTCCAACTGATGGGCAATTGGGCTGTTCCAAGTTTTAACTATTGCATGTGGTTTCATTTTATTGTAAATTTCCATTTTCATCAAAACATGATAGTAATGACTAAGTGAAAACAAAATGATGATTGAGCTGGGAGTTTAGCTCAGTGCTCCCACCACCTGCCTCACAAGCGCAAGGGCCTGAGTTCGATCCCTGGTACCAAAAGCAAAATGATGTATTGCTTTTCATATAAGTATATGCACAAAAAACATTGGCCTAGGCAGTTAAAATATTACTTTGTTAAAAAATTTTTTCTCTGTGGAAAAAAAAGCGTTACACAACCAATATATGCACTAAAGATACTGGAGAAACTGTATTAAAGGTGTTGTAGGGAGGGGGGCTTCCATAAGGGAGTGAAATAAACCTAACTTGAAGACCAAAAAACATTAATTTCATTGGTATATTTAGGTATACAATATGCTGACATTCATCATTGGAGATTTGCACCTTTATATCATATATCTTGATTCTTATTTTTTCCCCATTCCCCTACCCGCCCTTAAACCCTTCCACCTCTCCCTATTTACAAAGACTTTGTTTCCATCTTTTCATTTGCTCCAGTGCTTATTTTCAGATGTTTGTGTCAAGATGAAGATTATCAAATTGCAGTAAAACTGTGGACGACTGAATGTAGGGTTAAAACTATATGTAGTCTCTCATGTATTTTTGTTACTAATGCTTCCTTCACTGACATGAGAAGGATTAAATGACCAATTGCCAAAGTCTCAAAAGAACTCTGTTGATCATGGTTGTTAAAGGATAGTTCTGAAAATTTTATTTGTTTTTATCTTCAGGAAGAAAGAATTGAATGTTACATAAAAAAATGTCAAAAATTTTTCATGATTGGGCACTCCCAGCAAACCATCTAAAATCTGCATTCACTGTGGTATAAATGAGACTCCTGAGAAAAAGAAATAGTTGATCAGACATGGTAGCGAGTTCCAGGTTTTCCGTTGTATACAGTTAAACAAAATGTGCTATATTGTCAAGAAGGTTAAGAAAATAAAAAAAATTCAGGTAAAGATGTGGTGTACTTTATATGATCTTTTAAACTCACTTTTACAACTTCCTAGTTTTAATTTATTAGTTGCAGAATATGACTAAGTTCTGTTTATGAAGAAAAGGTTTATAATTCTAGAGGTGAAGTTTAGGTTTTGCTTGCACAAGGTATTACCTGTTTACTATGTGGTCAACATAAAATGTAAACTAGTCAAGTAAACTATCCTTGTTACTTTAAAACTAAATAGAAAGATCTAAAAAGCATTTGTGGTATGAATATTTGGCTAATACTCAAGAGTAACAAAATTAAAATAAAAAATTAAACAGAATAGTACTAATTAAATTAGACACTTAAAATCAGAATACTCAAAATCTTTTTCCTCAGCCAATTATATATAGCTTCAGGTAATAGTTAATGGATCTCGATTCCAATAAAAGATGAGGTTACATCCAACACTTCCTTATTCATTTTATTTAATTCAGCTGGTGATAAAAGAGTTGAAGCTGTTGTTAGTTTTTTTTTCTTTTTATTGAGTTTATTGGAACATTCTAGGTATACAGTACAGTTACATTAATTATTGGGATCTTGTACCTTTGCATGACAGGTCTTGGTTCTCATTTTTTGCCCTTGTCCCTGCTCTCCCTTCACCCGCTCCTCCCCTCCCCATTTACAAACACTTTATTTCCATTTTTTCATTTTCTCATATTTTTTCTTTTCCCTTATTCCCTTTCTCCTACCCTTTCCACTTTCCCTACACCTTTAGCCCTTTTCTTCCTATTTCACATTGTTAATTATCTCATTAGGATATTATGTACTATTATAGTTTTTCACACCAGAGAAACTATTCAGTATTTACACATGTGTGACTTATTTATTTCACTTAGGAGTATATGCTCAAAATGTATCCATTTTCCTATGAATGAATCTAATTTCTCATTCTTTATGGTTAAGTAGCATTCCATTTTATAGAAAAAACACATTTTCTTTATCCAGTTTCCAACTGATGGGCAAATGGGCAATTTGCATGTTTTAGCTATTACAAATTGTGCTTCTATAAACATAGGTGCGCATATGTCACTGTGATATGATTCTTTTAATAAGCAGTACTTCCAAATTCATTCCTGGAAGCTGTTAGTTTTAATTTGGCTTTGTCTTCATAGAACCTGAAACACAAACTGATTGATCAGGAATAAAGATGTTGCTGAATCTCATGTTAGGAATGAGGTCTTGTGGCTCATGTGTGTGATTTCTCTCAAAGAGTTTTAAAGCTTTTAAGTTTTTAAAAAATAAAAGTTATAGCATACAGTAGCCAAATATTCTACAAAAAATAAAGGTGTGGAAAAGGGAAACCATTGTTTGCAGTTTTGTGTATGCTAGGTTTTTTTCAGTGTGAAACACACATTATACATATGTGTAGATGTATACATGTTTATATGTGAATATACATATGTGTACCTGTGGCGCATGCCTCTGAGAATATTAGTTTTACCAAACAATATTTTGTGAATTTTTGTCATATAAATGTATACAGATATATTTACTAGTTTTTATCCCAGTCCATTGTGATCATACTTTTGCCATAGCCATAGAATCCTATAATTTAAATGTACCGTATTTTATTTAATGATTTCCCTATTGGTAGACTTTAGGTTGTTTCCAGTTTTTCTGTTTTTGTGACTAATACTGTGAAACTCTTTATCCAAATATTTTCTTTGGGTAAATTCCTGGAAGTAGAATTGTTGAGTTACAGGAAATGCTCATTTAAAATTTTGACGTATAGTGTCAATTTTTTCTCAGAAATGTGTCATTTTATACTCTTATTAACAATGCCTTGGGCATTGGAACATCATGAGCAACCTTGGATTTTGTTACTCTCTCAAATGTTTCAACCCAAGGGTTTGTTTTATTTTGTTTCTTTGAGACAAGATCACTCTATGTTGTTCAGGCTAATCTGGACTCAAGCTATTCCACTGCCTCAGCTTCCCAGATGCTGAGACTATAGGCATGGTGCCTGGTAGTTAATATTTTACATCTTAGTAAATATAACATGTCAAGGATATGATTCCCATCTTATTTTCATTTGTTTGCTTTAGTAGCCAGAGATTTATCCACGCCTCCCTATGTCCTGGGAATTTGGTGGACTACATAGTCATAGACTGACTTGGCAAGTAGTGGCAAACATTTGAGGAGAGATGAGGGAAAGAACGATTGCGAGATAGACCTAGGGCTTCTCAAAAGACCAGCAAAGGACACTGGATATGTCACTAAAGACCACTGAAGGACATCCCAACCCCAGGAATGGTCTTATTGGTCACTGTGTAATTAATCAATGGTATCTTGAGGAAGTAGACCAAAGCTGCTGAATGGAAAGTGTCTTTTTCTGTGCCTCTCAAACTTTCTCTTTTAGAGTTCAGCATGAATAAACCATTCTACTCTGTCAAAGCTTAACAACCATCAAGATGTCTTGGTCTTTTTTTTTCTTCCTTTGCTGCTAGGAATTGAACCGAGGGCTTTGTGAATGCTAGGTAACTGCTCCCCCACCAAGCCGTGTTTCTATTTAAATTGACATTGTGGTGCTTTATTTGACAGAAATGATGTGCGTAGAAAATGCCCTGAGAAATGAACAGTTTTTCCTCCCTCTTGACAACGCTGTGTCACACATCACTTCTACAGTAGTTTCTGTCAAATAAAAACACTAGGATGTATTCTCTTTCCCATTATTCATTAGATCTGGTACTGTGTGACTTGTAGCTCTTCCTCAATTCAATGTGATAGTGAAAAGTAAATGTTTTGAATTGATTCTGGACATTGAGGCAGCCAGGACAGAAAAAGTACTTCTAAAATTGCTTCAGAAAGTGGCGAGAATGATGTGTGTTTGAAGTTAGGGGGAGTGCTTTGAGGGAGGTTAATAGCAATATGTCTATCCCTGTCGTAATTTTGTAAAACATTTAAACATTCACTGTATTTATTTACCACATTGTGTGTTTGTACGTATCCTATCTGCCCATCTCTCTCTCTCTCTCTCTTTCTTTCTCTCTCTCTCTGACTTTCTTCTCTTTTTTTCTTTTTTTGCTGTATTTGGGGAATTGGGGATCATACTTATGACCTTGTGCTTGCGCGAAAGGAGAGGCACCGCTGAACTGAATCCCCAGCTCAGACTCAGTTCTAAGGGAGCCATTTCACAATTTCTATCATTTTGCTTTTCTATTAGAAATAGCATTTTATTAGATTCCGGTGTTTTTGTGCTTTGCAATGCTTAAAAGTTTAGGAAACACCTGCCTTTAAATGTTTACCCTCAGAACTTTGGAAGCCTGGTGGATAACATTTAATTCATGTAGATTAAAGCTTTTGGCTTTGCCTCAGCATCATAAGTATAACTCTCAGAGAGGAGCACAAGGGCTCACATGTTACAACGTAACTGTTTTACTCAGGTGTTAGATTTTTAAACTGGTTTCTAGTAAAAAATTAATGTAAATCTGCTCAACACCCAGTCATCTTATGAATCTAAGATCACTTTTATAATGGCTTTTTTTGTTTCGCACAGGCATTCTTACACCGAATGAACCAGTGTGCAGCAGCAAAAGTTGACAAGAATGTAACAGAGGAAACAGTGAAGGTGAGGATTTCAAGGGGCCCTCTGGGATGGGTTCCCAGAGATGACATGTTACCTGTAGGGCATTCCTGCAGAAACTTTCCACTTCTTTTCAATGCCCCTATAAGTTCTTAGTCCAGTCACTTGTTCAGTAATAACATGAAAAAGGGGCCAGGGTTTGGGAAAAGAAAGGGAAATTAGAGGAGGCACGGAAGTCTAGAGAATTTTTTAACAAAAGTCTTGGAAATGTGTGAAAAAGGGAAGAAACAATAAATTTAAGAAACAAAAGCTAATTTTAGCCTCTATGAGAGGGAGAAAGTTGAATGAGGTGTGAGATGGCAGAGTGACAGGAGGTGGACAAATCTGGACTTCAGTCTCTGTGGCTGCTAAAGAACAAGACTGGGATGGTCCGTGAGCTGCAGGAGAGAATGTCCATGTATCTTCAACTCAGAAGCAAATATGTAACATTTCTTCTAAACTGTAGGGAGAGGGGTTGGCCAGTGGTACAGTGGAGCTTCCCACTGTGGGAGGCCCTGGATTTGATCCCTAGCAGCACACACACACACACACACACACACACACAGACACACACACACACACACACACATACACACGAAAAATTTTAAATAAAAATTATCCCATAGTGATTATTTAAATTGTATAAATCATCATTGATATTGATTATTTTAATTTACTGTTATATTTTACTGCAAGTAAAAAAAAGCTAAAGTTTTAGGCTCTTCTATTTCCTCATAAGTTAAATATTCAACTTTCACATTTTCTGACTGTGGGATTACTTTAGTTAGCAAGTTTATGGAAACAAGCAAAAGCAATTTATAATCCAAATAGACTTGAAGACTATTTGATTCACATATGTGAACTCCAGATGAAAGATAAGGTTCCCCACAGGTGATTCCAGGAGGCCAACAAGATGCTAGATCCTCTCCAGTCATTCACTCTGCCTTACGGGGTGTCCGCTTTGCCCCTGAGCTGGCTCCTCCCTTAGCTACAAAGTGACCTCATAGTTGTCCCAGCTGTTACCCCACACAGAAAAGGACTGTATGTTCTAGGATGCCTTTCCTAGGGGCAGACGCCCTTCTTCAAAAACATGCCAGCAATTCTGTGTGCAGTTTTACCTGCCGATCATCCTGGAGAGGGGTGGGACTATCATGCATGGATTTGGCCACCCAGGCTTTGTCTTAGAAGCCAGGCGAAGTGACCTGGTCCCCAAAGTTGTGCGGGAGTGGACAAAATTTGGGTTCTGTCAGCAAGCTGAGAGGAAGGGATAATTTTAGCATGGCTACTGAATGAAATTGTTCAGATTGGAGAGTGAATACTGGACTCTCACAGACATTTTAAAATTTTATTTTACTTGCTTCACTACTGCACTTACATGTTTTATTTTTTTTTACAGATGTTGTTTTCGAACATCGAAGATATCCTTGCAGTACATAAAGAATTCTTAAAAGTTGTAGAGGAGTGCCTACATCCTGAACCTAATGCTCAACAGGAAGTGGGAACCTGCTTTCTTCACTTTGTAGGATAAATTTGTTTGTTTTTAAAGTTATTTTTCTCCCTTGATTTTAAAATTTAGCTCTTGGCATAGTAAAATGTGTGCATTTAGCACTAGAAGTAACATCTGACACCAGAAGTTTGGGGTCTTTTAAGGCCAGTGAGATCTTGTACTCCAAGACAGAAAAGGCAGCGTGTCCCACATCATCCATTTCCCTCAGTGAAGAATGAACAGCCTTTTCTCTTTCCCAACAAGTTAGCTCTTCGCATCCTCTGTAGCTTTGAATTCTAATGAATATTCAGGCTGTTCAGAATGAATGGATTTTTATGTTTCTCTCAAACATAGAGCATTTTTCTTTTGAAGCAGAAAATCCTCACTCTTATAATGGCACTACAGACCTTTTAATAGTCAGAACGTTCTCTTGTTAATCAGCTTGAACAGACTTGGAGGTGAACAGACAGTATGGCTGTGTCTGAATTTTTCTTAAGGGTGGCTTCTCAGAAGATTGTACTGAGCAGTGCAGAAAGCATAAGAGGTGGTGCTCAGTGGTCAAATTATATGTCTCTTACCTGTGTGATCATCTTCATATCTTTCTTTATACAACTGAAATGATTTATGCAATTGAGTTGCAAAGAGAGAAGCCACCTGTATAATCAACATTGTTTCCAGAACTAAAGGGCATTCATGCTAAAAAAAGAAAATGAAAAAGAATGCTGCTATTTATACCACTCCCTTAATGCTAATTTTCAGAGTACCATTTTGGATCCATGTATTTATCAAAATGCAATACAGTGAGCATTTTACTTAAAAATATGTGTTATGTCACAGTGATCTAACTTTGTATATTTTTATTTTCCAGTTTGTCTTTCATAAAGGTTTTCATATGTAGTTTCTCAGTCGATCCATAGATGATAACCAGGCTCTGCATATGTTCTTTTAATAAACAGAAAATGTTCTAGAAAGATAATTGTATTAAAGGGAGAGGCTGCTTGGGTGTAGGAGGATTGATCTGTGCTTTCTTGGGCGTGGCTGGAAGCCATGGGTGTTTGTGTCCATTTACCCAAGCCTGTTCCTTTTCAAGAAAGAATCAGAATTCTCTGCCAGCTGGAGTAGTTTCTGTCTCAGGCCAGGGTTGCCTATGGGAATCTTGCAGTCATTTCCTTAGTAGCACATTATAAATGTGTCATCTGTGAATTTATCTAAACTATTTCTGAAGTTATGTGGCTCATACAATCCCTTGAGATAAACCATTGAATACATTTTTTGCTGCCTGTATACAATAGTGCTTAATGTTCTAAGCATGCATTGGAAATTTCAAAGGCTAGTTTTAATATTTGATCGATAAATATTCTGTATCTTTTATTGATGCTGCTCTGCTATTTATTAATCATAACCATTTTGAGAAAATTTACAAATGGAAGGTGACTTAGAGATGATGATGGCAAAACTCTTTTCTTTTGGAAAGTATTCCCTTTATCTTTGAAAACCATTTATTTTGTTCCTACTTGGTCACTTTTATGATAACTCTAATGATAAGAAGATCTCTGTATTGATCCAAAATCTGCCCATCACTGCCTTTACAATTCCCACCTAATGGTCTTAGTGTTATGTTTTGAAGCTACATAGACTCAGCAACCTTTTGCAGTATAACAGCTATTTCAAAGTAGCTACTATTCCCTGACTTTACTAAGAATGATGTCTCTCTGAAATGACCTGTCATTTACCATATCTTCAGGAGCTGCCATCTTAGCCACTTCTGGCCTTACATTGTTCTGTTTGTCAGTGTCCCTCTTCAAGACACCATTCCAGTGGTGTCTGTGAGCTGCAGGGTGCTATGCTTTGCTCTCCCTTTATGATCTGGCACGTGACTTTTCCCTTTCCTTAACATGGCTTTCTTCCCTCTCTATGCCTCAAATCATGGATTTATCCCACTGGACCTTGCGCAGTCTGTGGCCTTGAAGAACATCTCATTGTTCTCTGTTCTTCGCCACCACTCGCTTCATTTATCCATTATTGCGTTCATCATATTGCAGTAAAATGTATATGACTTTCTTCTTTTCTAGACTATTGTTTATGGACCAGGGAAAATAAATAAATAAGAAAATAAACATTCACAGTATAGTTCTTGAGACATAGTAAAGCATCAAGTTTATATATACTGACAGGTTCAACTTTCAAAATGAACAAAATGACTAATTTATTCTTTCTTGAATTTGCAGAAAGACAAATTTCGCATCTATGATGAATATTGTAGTAACCATGAAAAAGCACAAAAATTGCTCCTTGAACTTAACAAAATAAGAACAATTCGGACATTTCTTTTGGTAAGTACATATTTATGTGTTATCATATGCTGATATTTGTCAGTAGGCTCAGTAAGAATCAAAGAGTAGCATCAATGTGGTATAAAAAGCTGTTTGTAAGGTACTGTAACTTGTATTATATGCAGGCTAGGAAGCTAGAGTCCTTTGATAAATGTGGGAAGTGAGAGCTGGGATAAGCTCATGTATGGGGAAGTACTGCTAATGCCCTCTCCTGGTTGATTACGAATTGCTCATGAGATCCCACTGGTTCTTATGAGCGAAGAACTCCTGCCAGAATTCATCATTGCTTTACGTCCTCAGTTCCTCAGGGCTTCATTTAGTTCTGCTAAAAGAGCTGTAAGTGGGGCAGAAACAGGAAAGATGCAAATCATAGTTATGGGAGAAAATAAATGTAAAGTTTGACCTTTCTCCTACACACATTCCTTATGCGATTTTCCTGAAAAATAGCAAGAATATATATTTAATATTTTGAGGTAGCACAAATAAGGACATATTTTGGCAGTTCCTTAGACAGTCTAACTGACACTGATGACCACACTATAAGTGTACAGTTCTGTGATATTTCTGGAGTTGCACAGCCATCTCCCAAATCTAATTTTAGAACATTTCCATCACCTGAAAAATATCTCTCTAGTCTCTTTACAACCCATGTTTCCTCCCACTGTTTGCTTCAGGCAACTACTGATTTACTTTCATCTCTGTAGAGATTTGCCTTTTCTGGGTATTTTGTGTAAACGGAGCCATACAATATAGTTTTTGGGCTTAATTTCTTTTTTCTTAGTAAAGTACGTCTGAGCTTTATCCTTAGAGAATGTATCCACTTTCCATTCTTTTAAACAACTGAATACTATTTCACTTTGTGGCCATAGTGTCTTTTGTTTATCACTTCTTCAGTTAATACTTTGAATTGAATTAGTAGGGCTCAGTCTAGTTTATGATATTAGTCATAAATAATGCTGTTACGAACATTTATGCACAGGTTCTATGTGCATATAAAGTTTTATTCTCTTGTGTAGATACTAAGAGCAAAATTACTAGATAATAGTCTAAGTTTTCTTTTTCCAGTATAGTCGTGCTTTATCTGTTATCTCTATAGGGAGATTCTAGTCTCTAAATATCTTTGCCAAGACTTAGTGTAACCAGTTTTTCTGATTATAGCTGTACTAGTGGGTGGGTAGTGGTATTATGTAGGGGGTCTAAATTTACATTTTTTCTGATGGCTTCATGTCCTCAGTAGCATGTAATAAATATTCTTTAATGAAATGCTTATTCAAGTCTTTTGCCTATATTTAAATCAAAGTGTTTACCTTATACTGAGCTCTCAGTTATGTTCATTGTTTTAGATAAAAATTCTTTATCTAAAATATAGTTTTCATATATTTTTTCCCACTGTGATTTCTCTGTTAATTAAAAAATACTATCTTTGACAATTAAAATTTTTTAAATTTGATGGAATTTACTTTATTAAATTTTTTCCATTATGACCATGCTTTTCTTATCATATTTAGAAAATCTGTATTCAGGTTTTATACTTATTTTTTCTGAATGTTTTATTATTTTGTTAAAATAATATTGTGATTGGATTTATCTTAATGTCATTTTTACGTTGTTCATTGCTAAATATATATTTAGTGGACTTTTGTATATTGACCTTTTATCCTCTAATCTAAATTCATATGTTAATTTCAGTAATTATTTTATAGATTCTTTGGATATTTTACATATAGGATCATGTTACCTGAAAATAAAAACAGTTTTTCTTCTTTTTTTCTCATTGTGAATGTCATAGTCTTTATATATTAGCTAGAATCTTCAGTGGAGTGTTCAGTAGAAGTGGTTAGAATGGACACACTTGCCTTGTTTCTGGTCTTAGGGGAAAAACATTCAGTCCTTGTAAACTATAGGTTTTTTTGTAGACATCCTTTTTAGGTTTTAATATATTTCTAGTTTATTGAGAGTTTTTATTACTCTTTTCTTTTTAATGTGTTTAAAGTTGTGACATTATGCATATCATGATATGAATGTTATTCAAATAAATTAAAGCTATAACTTTTTGTTTTGGTGCTTGGGATCAAAAGCTATAACTTATTAATGGGATTATCAGCTATCACATAGAAAGAGAGATAGCACCTCCAAATATAATTGTTGTCAATTTTTGCTTTATGTATCTTGGAGCTCTGTTTTAAGATATGTATACCTTCATACTTGTATATTCCTGTTTCTGTCTATCAGTATGTTTTTTGTTTTTGCTTTTTTTGGTACCGGGTATCGAACTTGTGCCCTTGCCACTTGCAAGGCAGGTGCCGGACTCACCCCTCTGAGCTAAATTCCCACCCTCTGTCTATCACTATGAAATGCTGCTCTTTGCCCCTAGTTCTGTTTCTTCTGTTAAGTCTGTTCTTCCTGATATCATTATGGCAGTGATAGCTGTCTTACTACTGGTCATTTTATTTTTATTCCTTATTTTTCTTACAAGATTGTGATGATCTTTGAAATATTTTTCATTAGACACTCTAAGTTAGATCTTGCTTTTTCTCTAGGTTGACAATCTCTGCCTTTTGACTGAAGTGTTTAGTTTGTTTGCCTTTAATGTCATCACCAATAGTTGTATTTATATGTATAATTTTGTAACTTTTTCCTGTGTATCTTCTTGGTTTGGTTCTCTGCTACTTTTGTGCCAGACAGATATTTTTAGTGTACCACTTTATTGCTCTATTGATCCTGTAAACTGTATTTTAAGGATAATGAAAATAATTTTTTTCTATACACTATAACATGTGTCTTATCAGGTTCATTTTCTGTTACTATTGACATTCCAGTAAAATATAGGGGGTATTTTGCTGTATTATTTCTTATGTGGATATGGAAAGTGTTCCATTTTCTCCTTCCTCCATTGTGTTCTTATGGCCATACATGTCACACTGCATGTTATGAACTCTGCAACACAGTGGTATAACTTTATTTATTATATGTTTATTATATATTTGTACAGTCTTTAATATTAACCTACCTGTTTACCATTTCTAGCCTTCTATGTCTTCTGATGCATTTTACCCTGACATTGTAATCTTTTAATTTGATGAACAATCCTAATTTCTTATTGGAGATTTCTACTAGCATTGGCTTCTGTAACTCTTTATCTGGGAATATCTTTACTTTGCCTTCATTTTTGAAGGATATTTTTATTGTCTATAGAATTCTTGATGACAGGTTCTTTTTCTTTTTCCTTTTAGCAATTTAAATATGCCATTCTATTGCTTATGGCATCTATTGCTTTTGGATGATGAAAAGGCATTTGTTTCATTGTTTTTATATTTTACATAATGCGTCACTTTTCACTCTCTGTTTTGAGTACTTTCAAAGAAAATTTGATGATTTCCATTGGTTTAGATTCAATTCCATTGAGTATTTTTTCCAGCATCTCAAATGTGCTATTAATTCTACCTAGTGAATTATTTATTTCTTCTCATGTCTATTTGATTTAGTTAATTTTTAATTCTTTATTGAGATTTCCTGTTTGTTTATGCATTATCAGTGTATCGTCTTTAAGTTTTTAAAACAGGGTTCAGCACATTCCTTGGACATATGTATGATAGCCATTTTGAATTCTTTTTTGCTAAATGCAACAGTGGTATGTATGTTCTGAGGTTTTTTGACTGTGTGTGAATCACATTTTCCTGTCCCTTTGTGTATCTCATAATTTTTTATTATAAGCTAGACATTTAAACATTACTGTGGCAATTCTGGATTCTATATTTTCTACCTGAGATTAGTTACTATTTTTTGTTTATTTGTCTGTATATTGTTTTGTTTTTAGTGAATTGCTTGAACTTAATCTAAGAATCTGTCTTATATGTGCAATTAATGATATCTCTGCTTATTTGTTTTTCTAATTTTATTTTTCTAATTTAGCTTTGCTTGTTAAGAATCATTCCTGTAAACAGGAATGGATTTGTCAAAAGTATTCAAACATTATCATCTGTCTTGTCCATGGATCTGAGTACAAGTCAAAAGTCAGGTAGTTTGCAAGTTGATTCAGGTTTCACACCCTGAATCATGTGGGATTTTCTTTGGTCTTTTGTACAGATGCACACAGCCAAGTATCTCTAAGCTGACCAAGTTTGGGGTGATGATAGTTCTATTTAGAGTTTTCAGGTTGTTCATGATGATAGGTCCTTGGCTATGCTGTGACCATAGTAAGTTTTATGATCAGTAAAATCTCTGGAAGCTCATTTAGGAAGCACGTTATGTATGTAAGAATGTATCATCATCGTCATCATCATCATCATCATCATCATCATAGCTTGTGATTCTAAGCCAATCGAAGATAGTGGCCAACTTCTGCAACCATGAAGAAAAATTATAAGATGTATAATACAAAGAAATGGAAATGGTTTGGGTGATTGTATGTTCTTTTATTATAGCTCTTCAGCCCAGAGCTAGGTAGGCAGTGACAATATTAACAGAAGTTCTAAGTCATGTTGGGATCTGAAATGTCACTGGAAATATGTAGATAAAATCTAAATATTGTGCTTTTAAAGATTTCTCTGAGGGAAAATACCATAAATACCTTGAAGATATTTTGCTAATCTGATTGCAGTACGGAAAGGAACTCCCAAAGAACATGCTGAGTAAGAAAATGGCATTTACTGCTCTCTGCCTTTCATGTTATCTGGGTGAAGTCACCTTCGTGGCTTTTGTTTTGCTGACTTGAGGCTGAAGTGAGTTTCCCAGGACAGCAGAAGACATTATTTTGCACCGTTGGACTTCCTTTTACATCCTGTTCTACTCAGCACTTGGCCTCTCTCCTCAGTGAATGTAGAATAATATTTTAAAACAGTGGTATAGGAGGTGCTAATCTGTCAGTTTGTCTTGTAAGAGGCTCTCTTCTCCCTTCATTCAATTTTAAGTATTCTTTCCATTGCATTAAATTTGAAAGCCACTGAGGAAATACAATTTGGGCAAGTTTCAAGCCTTTATTTATATTGTTTAAGAAGACAGAAGCTTTATTTGTCTGATTTAGTTTTCTCTTGACCAGTACTTTATGGTTAGTAGAAGCTGCTTCAGTCTCGCCCATCCCTGTTTGCTAGTTTTTATGTTTCTGTAATCATTTGATCTCTGTGGAAATTCTTTCGGCACTCCCTCTCTGACACTGGCTTCCTGAGGTCTCTGCTTAAGTGTGACTTATAGATCACTTGGCTAAAACATTCCAGTTTTACACAAATGAAAACTAGAATTCTGAAATCAGTCCAAGGCATATATCACTAGTCAGTGGTAGAGCTTGGTTAGAAGTTATAACTTAATTGTCTTTTATAACTTAATTGCCTGATCTTCCACAATGTAAGGCATTGTTTTGTTGTTGTTTGTGTTTTTTGGTTGTTTTTGGTACTGGTTTTTATGAACACTCTCTCTCTCTCTCCCTCTCTCTCTCTCTCTCTCTCTCCCCCCTTCCTCTCCCTGCCTCTCTGTCCCTCTCCCTGGCTCTCCCTCCTTTCCTCCCTTCCTCCCTCTTCCCTTTCTCACTCTCGCCTTCTCTTTTTCATTACTATTTGTCTCTATATTTACCCTCACACATCAAACTTCAGAGAATATTTGTGAAGTAATTTTTATAGATTCAACTTGTATTTTGGATTCTGTAACCAATATGAAAGGCTCTTTGTAAGTGTTATTTGTGACTGAAAAAGTATGCTCTTCTTAGAGGAAATAAGAACATTTATTTTCACAATTTTTCAGTGTAACTTTGCTTTTGTTTTTGGTACTAGGGATGGGACTCAGGACCTTACGTGTACAAAGCATGCGGCGGCATCACTAAGCTAAACCCCTGGCCCCAGTATAAACTTTTAGGATAGAAGTTTAACAGCTTCAGATTTGAAAAACGTGCTGTACTTGTTTATGTTTATTTTCACCCAGAACTGCATGCTGCTTGGAGGACGAAAAAACACAGATGTTCCCCTGGAAGGCTACTTGGTAACGCCCATACAAAGGATATGCAAGTACCCTCTCCTTTTAAAGGTATTTTATGTGCTACCTCATTGTAGCATTTGCTTTGAACTTGTACATTTTTCTGATAATCTGTTGAAAGAGTTATTTTTAAAGTTTGATATTCTAAAAAAAAAGCAGATCATAATTATTTGGAAAATGGCTACTTTGTCACACATTTACCTATAGAGTAGGAAGCAAATCTTTCGTAGAAAAGCCACTAAGCTGAGCTTTTAGTAGAGAACATACTTACTTGAGTTTCATTCAGAATAAAAGCATTAATTTCAAGAGAGATCCCATTAAGTCCATTATGACTATTTTGTGTGGCACTGTAGCAATAGGGCCCTTCATTTTAAGTAAATTCAGTCAGAATGTTTTTTCATTTCCCAAACTTCAGTAAATTTATGTGACTAATGAAGTTAAAGTCAAAATTACATAATTTAAGAGCCTACTTTCTGAATCATTTTAATGGAATATCGTGGGTCACATGGGACTGTAAATGATGGAATGTGGAGTGACATCGCTGAGAAAACACCAACTCTTAAAGAGAGAAAATGCCTCACTAATGCTTGTCAGTCTGTTTTCTCATTACAGTTATCAGTATTGATATAATGACAAATGTATTGCACAGTGTTACCTTTGGCATTGCTACAAGGTTTTATGAATAGGTCAGTGTGCCAATTTTTGAAACTATACTTTTTCAAAGTATAACATCAGCATAGGCAGTTTGAGATGCTAGTGTAGCACGTGACCTCTGTCTGAGTTCAAATGCTAAGTATTCTGCTTGCCAGCTCTCTGAGTTGGCTATGTAATCTAATCCTATAAAGCAGTTTCATTTTTAAGATAGAAAATGATGAAATTCAGCATAGAAATATGTACATATGTGTATTTGTGTGTGTGTGTATGAATGTGCATTTCTATGTGTGAATACACATTTGTATGCATATATAGAATTATAAAATGATTAATTTTAATTATTTAATAGAAATTATTTAGCATAGTATGTCCCCTATTAGCTCTTATTACTCATATTTTTTTGATTTATTTATTTTAACTTATTAATTAGTAATTGTATCTTCATTCTTAAATATAGTTCAAAATGCTATTACTAGCTACATGTGGTGGCACATGCCTTTAAAATCCCAGCACTTGGAAGGCTGAGGCAGGAAGATCCCCACAAGTTCAAAACTAGCCTGGGCTGCAGAGTGAGTTTAGGGCCAGCCTGAACAACATAGTGAGACCTTTTCTCAACAAAACAAAACAAACAAAAATTAAGTACTATTGTCATATTAATTGGTATTGTTATTAATTTACTTTTTAAGATGTATTATAAATTTGAACTAGAAATGCAGCTTTTGTCAGTTGCATACATTTAAAACATTTATTTGGAAAAAAATTGCTTCTTATAAAATAGCAAGTCTAAAGTTGCCTGGCTACGTCATGAAAAGCCAGATATAGAATCTAACATAGGACTATTGGAGAATAGTGCAAACATTTGGCACACTCTTTTAGAGATACTATGGAGTATCGGTTTCAGAGCGACTTCTATCTTTCCAAGACTCTTACTAACCTCTAGCTCAGGGATTCATTTTGTATGTGTATTCCTAACTGTACTTTTCCCTGATTTTTTAAAAAATCTCGGGCTCTGTTTATTTTAAGAATAAGAATGGGAATATCAACAATAATAATATATCATGGCAAAGTGGTTGATGTAAACCACTCACATCTCGTTAGAAATGGCTTCAGCTATTTGAACTGACGTTTCAAAAAAGAAAAAGAAAGAAAGAAAGAAAGAAAGAAAAAGATATCATGGACAAATCATTGCCCTACCCGAGGGAAATAGTTCAGAGACCTTTTAAGGAGTAGGGAGATGATATCCTTTCCCCTTTGGGGAAGATTATCTTTACAACAAAAAAAGGGGAAAACTATTTATGCAGGGGATATGTTATTAATCTTTTTGTACTATCAGCTGAAAAGTTGTGCTGGGATTCTCTTTAATTTTAGATGAGTTTATTTACTCAGAGAAAACCATTAGATATTGGGTTACAGTATTTAAAAAAATATGTTGGTCTTACTTGTGAAACTTGCTATTATTAATTTGACCAGTCAATACAGGTTTATAGCAAGTAGTTGCTAGATTTTTACAGAATATTTGTCTTTGTATTTCACATTATCTAAATTCATGTCACAACTCTACAAATGCCCACTGGATATATTCCATATGGCCCCACTTCCTGGCCTACAGAATGACTTAGTTACTTCACATAGTTTTCAAATGCTTCTATTACTTAGAGTTTCTAGAAAAGCCTGCATGTCTCTTTTACGGATTTGTGGGTCACCATAACATTTTAAACCTTGTTCTGGGAGTAGTCTTTTGTGTACTCTTGTGGTGTTAGCTCTGCAGAGCAGTGTGAATATGTTGACTGCAAGATCAAAGTTAATGGGAAAAATTTCCACAACAAGGGAACTCTAGAAAGTAAATGAACTGGCTGTATCAAAGCCTGTTATGGTGGTGCATGCCCAACACTCAGGAGGCTGAAGCAGGAGGATCATCATGAGTTTGTGGCCAGCCTGGGCTGCATAGTGAGTATAAGACCATCCTTAAGTGCATGGTGAAACCCTGTCTATAAATAAATAAATGAATAAATAAATAAACAAACAAACTGCCTAAGTTTCCACTGTATTTTCAGAATTAAGAACATTCTTTTGAAGAGATGCCTTAGGGTTTTTGTAATTGTATTAGTTTCATGATGATGGCAACTTAGTAAAGAAACAAATGACTAATTAAAAAGTAATGTGGCCACAACTGTCTAGACAGTGGGTGAAGATGTTTAATTTTGTGCTTCTAAACAACAGCTAACAAGACCTCTTCATATATTTAAGAGATTAAAGTTTTAGGAGATTAAAGATTACTGTGGTTTTGATATCCTGAATAGAAAAAAATAATGAATAAAAGCCCCCTAAAATCCTGAACACTAAAAACAAACAAGGAAGCTATCGAAATATAGTAGTTCGTTTATCACAAAGAATGAACTTGAAAAATTGATGAGAACAGTATAAATTGCTCCTTTAATGGTGAAGTATTGTGAAAATTGTAATAAAGTATTTATTTTGCTGGAGTGTAAGACATCTACAGATTTTGCTTTGTTTAACTTATATTTTTATAGCTTCTCAAAAATGTTAGAAAAGAAGGATTTATATTACTGTGAAATTTTGGGACACATTTATTTGAAGATTTACTCTGTTAAAGACTGTGGGAAAATGAACAAATTACAATTGTTCTGTTAGACAAAAGTCAAGCTTAAAATAATTGCATGCCCAGATGATACATTTGATCATTTGAAAGAAGAAATGTAACTTCACTTATTTAAAAATAATTTTATGTGAAAAGTTAATATGACTGCAAAATGTGCCTTGCAGTAGCACTCCTCTGTTCAATTCGACCTTTCTTTTCTGATCTTTATCTTAGTGGAATTTGTGATGTCATTGAGAAAGTGGCTAGCGTGATCTTTATAATTTTCATTTCCTTGTCGGTTTTAGCGTGTTATACCAGAAAGCTGACCATCAAAGAGAAATCTGGTTTCTTTGTGTGTAAACAGGAATTACTGAAGCGGACTCCACGGAAACACAGCGACTATGCAGCAGTGACCGAAGCCCTCCAAGCCATGAAAGCAGTCTGTTCTAACATAAATGAGGCCAAGAGGCAAATGGAGAAGTTAGAAGTTCTGGAGGAATGGCAGTCTCACATTGAAGGCTGGGAGGTACCCTTACTATGCTCAAGTGAAAAGCTTAAAGACAGTTCTATGAGGTCACATGCTAAGAGCAAAATTATTGGGGTTGGATGGAACCATCTGTGGTTGTTTTTCTAGATATTGCTAAAGGATTATAATCAGTTCTGAAAAATGATTTCATTATTATTTTAAAATATTTTTAAGGTGGCAGTTAATTCACTTAATCTTGACCTGAGATATTTTGTTATGGAGCCAATAGATAAAATGTGGGCCCTGAACTTTGTTTTTTTTTACATAATTTGTACCTCATTAATTACCCTTTATTTCTGTATTAACTTCGATGACAGGTACATGGCCTGCCTCCTCAAGAGAGTAAAGAATGAGAGAAAGGAGTGGGAATCCTCAAGAGAGTAAAGCTTAATATATATGCTGTAATATTTTCAGACACTAAATTAGGAGTTCAGTGTTGAATTTCATTTTAAGTTCATCTACTTTCTCTAAGTTGTGATTTCTTTGATTTTAAAATAAAGGAACTTAGCCATAATTTGGTTTTTAAAATCTATTTAAGATAAAATTATTATTTTATGTTAAAGACAGATTTTAAGAAAGACAAAAAAGCAAATGGAGAGTATGGCTCAGAATCTTTAAGATATTTTCAGTTATGGTAATTTTGAATCAGTTTTTTTGTGAGGCTGAAACCCTACATTATTTTAGTGCTACACAAAAAATAAATTAAAATTCTGTATTAGAATTGCCGTAATTTAAATGAATATGAGTTTTAAGCCAGTATAATTTTTCGTGTTATGCATGTTATAAGAAATTAGGATAATTTTTAAAAAGTATAAATAAGATTGAAAATGTTCCCAGCTAAATACTGTATCACATAAATCCAAATGGATTGTTTATATCATTAGGGACTTGTAGTAGTCTAATTTATCTCCTATCTTGGAAATGTTGGCTTTCATTTAGACCTAAAATTATATCCAACCAGATGTGCAAAGAAACCTCAAATATTGACCTTAGGGAATTCGATTTGAACACTGTGCTGTGTGAATCTTTTTAAATGCTAACTGGAGCCTGTCTTTGCTTCCTCTTTGTATATATTCTTCTACTTCAAGTGTCTAGGGTGATCTCCCATTTCAGCATGAACACTACCTCTTTCAATCAGTTAGAGTGGTTGTGTGTTTTACAGTTGATTCATGATGATAATTCCTTTCCTGGGGAGCAGTTGTCCTGCTGGGATGAGAAAAATGGAGTAAAGTTTGCTTTTGCAGTTCTGTTGTCACTCAGACATTGGAAGAAAAACTGAACTTGTTTTAAATTGCAGTGTTTGCCAGTAAAACCTGCCATGCCCTTTGCTAAAACATGAACTTCAGAGATTCTTTTCAATGCTCTAGGGAAATTGAATCTGTCATAATTTTGTTTCCTTTTGTTATATGTCTTAAAATTTGAGTCTACTGAAGAAATGAGAGGTTCTTTTTACAATATGCACCAGCTACTCGAAGGCAAAATGTATGCGGAGTATGCTGCGTCATACATAACCCACAGCACAGAGTGGCTCAATTTCACCAGCCTGGGTGGTTGTCCAGTACTGAGTGTGAGAGGGAAAAATGGAGCATCAAGACAGAAGAAAGCTAGTGGAATTTAGGAAATTCTACAGAAAATCTGAAAGGTCTACGGTTCTAACAGGCATATATATTGCCGATAATGTCAATGTGGGGTTCCAAGGAGAGTGGTTACATGAATTCCACTTTAAATATATTTTGACAATGAATTTATGAGACACAGCCATACAGACACGTGAAAATTTGGGGACTTTGGGGGATACAGCTTGGAGCAGGGTTCAGTCAACTGGTTGGCAACTTGCAATCAGAGCCTGATTACCCATCCCACTCCACTGTGTTGGAAAGAGGAGGGAGCCACTTCCCATTCTAGGAAGTTTAGGAGAAATTGCTAGTCTGATAGGACTCTGTAGGGTTAATAGGGTCAGACATGAGGAATTCAGTTCCCAAGAGAGAAATGGGAATGGATTTTAGAGCTATTTTTGTGTTTTTGACAGGAATTATTGTTCAGCCAGTGGACAGATTGGTGCATATGTGGAAAGGCTCTTTTGAGGTCAGGGCAGGGTGAAATTCAGGTGGCTCAGATGCTGGCATGACAATTACATGTACCAGAGTCCCTTGAAGAGTATTCAAGCTTAGAAGCCCGAGACAAATGCTTGGAAATGGCTTCTGTCAGGCTTCTGCAGACATTTTAGGACTACATCAAAAATGACACCCTTGCTTCAGTAACTAGGATTCTCATGTTCTCCCAGCCATTTCCTGTACTGTGATCAAACCCAGTGTTTCCTCATCAAGTTGCTGTATGTCTCCAGCCCTTTTTCTATTTTGTTTTTTGATACAGGGTCTCTCAAAGTTCCTAAATTGCCTAGGCTGGCCTCTAACTAGAGATTCCCCTGCCTCAGACTACCAGAGTGCTGGGATTATTGGTGTGCATCACCACAACTGGCCAATTTGAATGACATCCGAGTCTGATATACTATAAATTTTCATTATTTTCACTTTACGCAGAATTTCTATCATATAAATCATTTAATTATCCAGGGTGTCATTTCCTAATTAATCAAATGAAATGTGTATTTATTTTTGATACCGGGGATTGAACTTTGGACCTTGCCCTTGTAAGGCAGGTGGCGGCACCACTGAGCTAAATCCCCAGCCCTGAAATGTTTCTTTAAACAATAAATTCTCATAAATAATTTGCCCATCTAGAACTTTGTGCTATTAAATTTTCATTTATATTCCTGTATGCTGAAATTAGGTAAATTTATTGTTCCCAAATCATGTGACATGGTAATAAAGAAACTTTTGAGCAGACTTAGATTTTAGTCTCATCCTTTCTTTGCAATGTTGCAGACCTTTTTTATTTATACTGTGGACTATTGAAGTGGTCAAATTAAATAAGTAAAAGTGCTTTGAAAACTGGAAAATGCTCTGAGATAGAATTTTAAAGCTAGTTCAACAGCTGAATGTTACCCTTGAGAATTTTTCCTTATTTGTACATTGCATGCACCCAAAGGTGTTATGTTACTTCAAGTTATATGGCTCAAAGTTATGGAAACTAAAAGGAAAGTCAACTTAATTGAGTGGCTCATAGAATCAATAGAAGAACTATAAGAGTAAAAATTGGAAGAGGCATGATGTGCTGCATGTGGAAAAGGGACTCAGGGGGCCCTTCAGGCTCCTGTATCACAACCCATTCTCACAGGAAGTCATCCAGGTCCATAGGTCTGGACTAATACCTTGTGAAGGTAGTACACCCATGACCTCATATTCTTCCATTAGTCTCCACCTCTTAAAGCCTCCAACACCTCAATACCACCATGGTGGGGCCCAATCCTCCTGCACATGAACCTGTGAGGATGAGCCATAGCTAGACCATAAAAGTGAATCTCAGCAGTGTAATCCCCATTATACAAACTAAGAATGGAGACTATTTAATTTACTTGAATTCTTACAATTAATAGGTGGCAAAGGTTAAATTTAAAATTTAGTGAAGAGTATATCCTCACACATTGTAAATATCGAATAGTTTCTCTGGAGTGAAAAACTATAATTGTACATAAGATCCTAATGGTATAATTGACCATGTGAAATAGGAAGAAAAGGGCTATAAAGGTGTAGGGCAAGTGGGAAGGGTAGGAGAAAGCTAAAAGGGAAAAGAAAAAAATCTGAGAAAATGAAAAAATGGAAATAAAGTGTTTGTAAATAGGGAAGGGAGGAGGGGGTAAAAGGAGGGCAGGGGTAAGGGGAGAAAATGAGAACCAACACCTGTCGTGTAAAGGTACAAGATCCCAATGATGAATGTAACTGTATTGTATACCTAAAATGTACCAATAAACTCAGTGAGAAAAAAAATTTAAATTTAGTAGCTTGGTTCTAAGGTTTATATTCCTTACCTTGAGATATAACCACTCAAAAAAATTTAGTGTTTTCCTACTTTTCCATTAACACTATATTGATTATAAATATTGGGGTTTTTTCTGCATTTATATAGTAACTATAATGTAGAAGATCTGTAATTTGTTTCAGTTGTTTAGTTTTGAAGTTATAGCTTTTATTACTATAATTTATTGTGTCTTCATTATATTATCTAACAGAACATCATATGAAATATTTTACTAAAGGTAATTGTTTACCCACAATTAATATGTTTGAGTGTGAAGTTTATTAGCTGTTTAATTAGACTTGCTGTGCCGGTTAATCTTAATTGTCAATTTGAGTAGATTAAGAGACTTCTGGAGAAGTGATTGGATCTTTCAGGTGCTATAATCATTGGTGGTGGAATCATCCACTTTTCATTGCTGAATATGCTGTTAGGAGTTGGGGCCCAAGTTGGAGATAGGTTACTGAGGTCATGGCTTTGGAGGGTGCATCTCTGCCTGGTTCTCTGACTCTGTGCTTTGCTTCCCAGAAACCATAAAATGAGCAGCCCTTCTATCATGATGTTCATGCTTTAAGAGCTATCCAACCATAAAGTGAGGCCTCCAAAACCTAAGAAAAATAAGCCATTCCCTTCTTAAACTTGCGTATGTCAGCAACAGGAAAGCTGGCTAATGGAGTTGCTGATTTTCTCTGTAGAGCAGGACCATTCTTAGTTTCTGCTTGCTTCTTGGTTGATCAATTCTGTGTAATACTGCAACTTTTAGAATCATACAAGGGAACGTCAATAAACATTATATTATTTAGTTTTTCAGTTTTAAATCCTTGAAATGTCTGTTTGGAATAGTCTCTCAAATATGACAAAAATCAGAATAAAAGATAAGAGGAAAGATTATTAATATGAAAGATTGGAAGAAATGATATTCACAAAATTATTGTTTTAGAAAGTAAAGAGAAATAGAATACAAATTTGAGACAAACTTTGGATATTATTCCTTTGTCTAAGGAATAGCTGGAAACATTTTTTTTCCCATTTTGTAGGCTGTATCTTCACTTTGTGCATTGTTTTCTTTGCCGTGCAGAACTTTT